GACTGTTCAGCAGATCTCCCCTGGAGAGCAGAAACAGGCCCAGCAGTTCACTGCCACGTCCATCAGGCCTCGGAAGACGGACTCACTGTCACTCTTCTTCAGAAAGGTGTATCATTTAGCCAGTGTTCCTCTGAGGAATCTCTGTGTCAAACTCGATGTGTCTAATGAGCTGCGGAAAAAGATCTGGACATGCTTTGAGTATTCCTTGGTGCACTGCCCTGAAATCATGATGGACAGACGCTTGGATCAGCTGCTGATGTGTGCCATCTATGTCATGACTAAGGTCACTAATGAAGACAGATCATTTCAAAACATCATGCGCTGCTATCGGACACAGCCACAAGCCCAGAGCCATGTCTATTGCAGTGTCCTGATCAAAGGCAGGCGCCGCCGCCGCTCCGGCAGCAGCGACAGCAGCAGCCAGCAGAACTCACCCACAGGCAGGAGCAAGGAGAAGAACAAGGAAAGAAGCAGCCGGGACTCCAGCCCGGTGATGCGCTCCAGCATCACCCTGCCCGTGCCGCACCCCCGGCAGCGCCCCCCCCACACCCACCTGCCTCACCTGCGCCAACAGCGACACCGAGGAGGAGGAGCGGAGGGACCTCATCCAGTTCTACAACAACGTCTACAAAGAACAGATCAAAGACTTTGCCCTCAAGTACACTTCAAATGCAACAGACTCCCCTTCGCTCTTGCTGTACCCGTTCGTGCAGCTCAACTCCCCTCGCCGGGTGCGACTCTCCCAGAACGTGTGTGGGGTATATGAGGAAATGGCCTTTATGATGAGAGCCCCATTATGAAGTGTATGGGCTTTAGGAGTCCCGTGCCCTCATGAGGGCTGAAGCATTATGAGGTGTGTGGGGTGTATGAGGTCAGTGCTTTTATGACATCTATGGTGTTTATGAGGACGGAGCCTTTATGAGGTTTATGGCATTTATGAGGACATCTCCTTTACGATGACATCCCCATGATCAGGTTTATGGGTCTTATGAGGACAGGGGATTTATGAAACCTGCACCACTGTGAGGTGTGTGAGGTTTCTGAGGACAGTTCCTTTATGAGGCCTGCCTCATTATGAGGTGGATGGGGTTTTGATGACGTGGCCTTTATGAAGAGAGCCTCTTGTGAGGTTTATGGGCTTTATGAGGGGAGCACCAGTAGGACATGTAAGGGTGTTATGAAGACAGAGCTTTTATGATGACAGCTCTTTTATAAGGTGTATGGGCTATATGAGGCCTGCACCGTTATGAGGTGGATGGGGTGAATATGAAAAATCTGGTAAAAGAACTGCCCAGAAACTTTGAGTCTTTTGAGCAGCAAAGGTTTTTATTCGTCGACGTCGGGAGCAAGCGTGGTTCGCACCACAAAGAACTTACTCAAGGTAGCACACAAAAATCAGGGGTTTCTACAATTTTCCTACATGATTCTTTACATAAGCATATGATTATATCATCTATCTGTACGTATTAATACTAGGTGGAGTACAGGTGGAGCTCAGGCGGAGCTTAGGGCGGTGCTTTTCTTGATCCTCAATTTTAGGGGTAGTTCCATCCTTCGGCCTCGCGGGTCTGGAGGTGCCAGTAGTCTTCCTCAGTTTGACCTCTTTACCTTTGCTTTGTTCTTGACCTAATCACTGAAGCTTGGAGAAAGCCTTGGCTTTAGGCCTACTTCTCTAATTCAGATGTCTACCTTGGCTTACTTTGGCCTTCATTTATCACCCCTAAGCCTATTGAATAATCTTTCTAGCATTCTACTAAGTTTCAGGTCCAGCAATCAGAACAGAACAGATTTTTGTTTAGCAACATAAGCAGAGCAGGTCGGGGGGGGCTTTGCTTAGCAGAGCAGGATATTTGGTTAACTCCTTTCAGGCCTTGCTCTTGTTTCAGTCCCCCCTTTTCTTAGACTTGTGAATTCTTTCACCAAGTTCCAAAGGAAACTGATAGGTATGCATCATTGCCCATATTATCTGTATTTTCTTGACTAGGGTACTTACTTTTTACCACAACCAAATATTCAAGAGGGATGGCAGGATTAAAACTGCTACCATGATCAATATTGGATGCATTAAGAAGTAATTGCCACTTGTGTTGCTGTGGGGGGATATCCTGTAAAGACGTCTCACCAACGATGTTCTCCCACTTGTTCTACTTTAGTCAGGATAGTGTTCCGCTTTCCAAAGTATACGTTGGGTTGTTCTGTTCACCTCTTGGACCAGTTTTTCTATATTGGGGGGTCTAAGCATTGTTTTGAAAAGATCAGCATCCATGCCTGTCTGCAATTTGGGTACATCATGATACAAGGTGTAATCAGCCTCAATCAGTTGCCTGTTTTTATGTATCCACTTACAAACTGTTTCTTGATGCTCTACCTGTGGATCTGTGTCTAATCCTTCTGGCACTAGAGCTGCTACTGGTAATTCTTTACCTCTATTTCTGGGACAGTATTACCTTTCAGGTGTCCCCTACAGTGCACAATAGCCACCCATGCTGGGAGCTGGACGGCTTCTAACACTTGTAGGATCTCCTCTGCGTGTTTTACAGCTCTCCCTTGGGCAATCAACAGCCCTCGTTCTTTCCAGATTGCTCCGTGGGCGTGTACAATGGCAAAGGCACATTTTAGAATCAGATCTTTATCCGCTTTCCCTTTGCCACCTCAAGAGCTCGGGTGAGAGCTATCAGTTCTGCTCTCTGGGCTGAAGTCCCTGCAGGCAAAGGGTTTGATTCCATTACCTGTTCTGTGGTGGTTACTGCACAGCCAACCATCCTTACACCCTGCTTTACAAAGCTGCTGTTGTCCAAACACCAATCATCTGCGTCCTGGAACGGTTCTTCTTTGAGGTCTGGGCAGCTGGAGTGCACTGCCTCCATGGTCTCCAGGCAGTCACGCTCGACAGGTTCAGCTGAGAGTCTTCCTTCTAGGAATGAAGTTGGGTTGACAGTGTTAGTCACCTGAATGGTTCCGTCATCTGACTCAGCCAGGATCACCTGGTAT